CCTGATGGAAGGTAGAACTCTTGAAGACATTGGTGTAGGTAAACACTTCGTGAACAAAATCTTCATCACACAGAAACTATCACAAAGAATCTTCAAATGGGATCTCATCTTACTAAAAAGCATTTGCACAGCAAAAGAAACCAACAACTGAGTGAAGAGACAATAGACAGTGTGGGAAAGAATTTTTGCCAGCTGTACCTCAGACAAAGGACTAATATCTAGAACATATAAAAGATTGTAAAAAATGAGCCCCCCCCCAATTTAAAGATCCATTCCGAAAACGGGCATCTGAAATGAATAGACACTTCTCAGATGAATTAGTAACAAAGACATGAAAATTTTTCACATCAATGGTCATCTGAGAGATGCAAATTAAAACAATTCTGAGATTCCATCTCACTCCAGAAAGAATGGCTATCATCAAGAAAGCAATCAATAATAAATGCTGGTAGGGCTGTAGCAAAAAAGAAATACTTCTCCACTGTTGATGAGAGTGTAAACTTGTGCTACCACCATGGAAATCAGGTGAAGTTTCCTCAAAAACTAGCATTAAAGGTTCCATTTAACCTAGCTATTCCTCTTCTTGATATCTTACTGAAAGAATTAAAAGCATCATACCACATGATATTGATCTGACCGAGACCCACACAGAACCGAGCCAGACCGCCTGACACGAGAAGAGTCCTTATCAGGTGGGAGAACGACGGGGTGGGCTGCCTAGAGGACCAAGACAACCCGAGCTGTGCAAAGCTTTGGGTTTTTAAGGGGTTTTCCCGGGATGGTGCTCGCGGGTCAGAACAGCCAGGAGAGCAGTTTTCGTGGTTAGAGCAGGTGATCTTGCAAGAACATCTGGTACTTTTATGGGCGGGGTTGGCCTTTGTGGTTGGGCCCCTTGGGGAGGTGGAGGAGCACAGGCAGGGCACCCGGCCTGGGTGCTTTCTCTTTCTGCAAGGAGAGGGGGCCATCTCGGAGACCTATCAGATATATGCACACCCTTGTTTATAGTGGCACAGTTTGTAATAACCAAATCTTGGAAATCACCCAAATGCCCATTGACCAATGAGTGAATAAGATGTGGGGTCTTTTATACACTCAATGGATAAGATGTGGGTTTTTTTTATGGTGGAGTACTACTCTGCCATAAAGAAAGAAACATTTGATACATTTCTAGCTAAATGGATGCACCTTGAGACCATATTCTTAATGAAGTAAAGTGGACACATACGTGTAAATATCACATGGTTTCTCTGGTGTGAGAAAGGGAAGTGTAAATAAAGACAAAAATATATAATTGATATTGGGAAATGGAAAGAAAATATTCAAATGAGAAGGGTCACAAGTGGAAGAAGAGTGGGAAAGGAAAGAAGGGACAAGAAAATAAAATAGAAGGTAAAAGAACCAACAGAGTGACTCTGTCCAGAGAGACAACACCCAGGCCCTAGCTGCCCCATGCCATCTCTTCTGGCACGCTGGGCAGTGTGGCCCTCTGATAGGTCTGTTTGCCTGGCACTACTGCACCTCCTGGAGCTGGGCTACCTGTAAAGATCCCTGCAGGGGCCATAGCAGGGGCTGTCAGTGTGTCAGCAGATGCCCTCTGAGGTCACCATGGCCTGTGCTGACTCCTCTCTGGACAGGAGTTGCTATAGAGTCTGGTTTCTTCTCAGACATGATGCCATAGCTCACATGGCAGAGCAACCCACTGAGTGCTGCCAGTGTGAATGCCCATTTTATAAGTGAATGTTATTATTGAGGATTCTGACTTCAAGGACTTAATACTTTGCAAAGGCCACACCTCCTCATATTATCACCTTAGGAGTTAGGTTTCAATAAGTGAACTTTGGGAGAACTCAGAAATTCAGATTACAGGAAACATTACATGAGGTTATACTATATGTTCAGCAGTGTAATGAATTCCTTCTGGCTTGTTTCCCACAACATTTATATGCTGACATATAATACAAAATTTGAGTTTTTTGATGACAGGAATCTAACCAAAGGGTTGTATTTAGATTTTAGAAAAATAATCCAAATGCAGATGTCATGATCGTAATTAGTCACAAACTATTCAAGAAGAAAAGACAAAGTTGAGCACCTTTAATTTTGAGACCTTGAAATGCAAATGTTAAAAGGCAAATGACACATGAGAGTTTTTTCCATGCTCATAAAATGATTTCTGATGTTCTCAAGCCTTATTGTTCCTTGAGGAGGTTCAGTTCCAAAATCATGGCCAAAACTGCCCTACAGGACATGCACACACAAAGAAAGAATATTCAAGAGACAGTTCAAAAGGTCACCAGAGGAAATGCATAGAATCTGCAACTTTCAACCTCACACAATCAGCTGAGTGTAAATATATCCAAATGAAATTCCTTTTCCTTCTCCCCATTTCTTTTCCAAAAAATGAAATGAATTTCAAGATGGCCATGTCTCTTCACTTATCTACCATAGCTGACTGCTATAATACCCAATCCATTAATAATTTTTATATTCTCAAAATAATATATCCATCCATATCATTTTTCCTCTTTATCTAGCATTCCACACCTTTAATTCTTTTTAAAAATTTATTTTAAAAATAAAACAAAGAAAACATATTAACAAACAGGTATCCATTTACAAAATAGTATAAGAACAGTAGAAGCAATACAGAGTTACAGATAAAGTGGTAGGAAATTAACAATGGTTGTTGTATTACATATTGATATCTTCAAAGTGGTTTCTCAGGAAAGCAGAGTTAGGGTTAGAATCATTAACTGTTCCTTTCAGTAAAGTGATAGCAGTCAGTAGTACAACCATGTTAGCTATCCTGTATATATATACATACATAATTTCCCCTTCCTTCTTTTCTCTTTTCCCTCACCCTGATGGGTTCCTTCTCTCATTATAATTCCTTTAGAGTCATTGTGGCACCACCTACTAGAGGCTATGTGCCATGGCCAATATGACACTGGCCACTACAGGCCATAGGCTAAGCCCCACCCTTCTTCATCTGAGTTATTTTAGGACTTCCTACTCCCCTTTGTAGTGTCCTGTTTCATTTTCCCACACTCCCACCCAATGCTGGCATGCCACGTCAGCAGTCCATCCCCCTAAACCCCGCCTCCAGCCTGGCCATATATTAACATTGTTCTCAGGCAGGCCCCCCAGAAGAACCATGACCCCCTTTACCCCTCCCCTTTGTGATCTTCTCCGTGCCTCACAATAAAGGCATTTTATTGTTTTATTACTTTCTGTGCCGACTGGAATCTATCACACTCCAGTTGCTCTTTAATTTTGAGCATTTTCCTTTCGTTTCACAATGTCTGTCATACCTCTTAATTTTTATTCACTCTTTCAAGTTCTTACACTAGTGAGTCAATATGTTTCACACCTTTAATTCTGTTCTTATTGATCTCTTCTTTTTCAAAATCAAAATAACCCATGAGATTTTATGGAGTCCATTTCACGTCTGTATTTTTTAGACCTGATTTATGATATGTATGCTGAAGGCAACAGTTCTTTCTCTGGCAAGAATGTCAGAGTTCCAAGACTGTATTCAATACCTTGTTATTATACACTCAGAAGGTGAGTCGTTTACAACTAAATCTTGGAATCAGCATATGTGTCCATCAACAGATAGCTGGATGAAGAAAATATGGTATTTATACACAGTTGAGTCTTCCTTTGCCATAAAGAAGGATAAACTCAAGTCATTTGTAGGAGAAAGGATGCACTCTAAGACCATAATATTTAGTGAAACAAATCAGACACAAATATGTAAATATACCATAGTTTCTCTTATATAAGAAGCCCAATGTATAAACAAAGTACAAAGTGAAAGCACTAGGAAGAAGAGTGACAGGTTTTCTTCAACCTAATGTTAGCTGTCTTTTTTTTTTTTTTTGGTACCGGGAATTGAACTCAGGACTTTACACTTACCAGGCAGGCGCTGGCACCACTGAGCTATATCCCTGGCCCCTATCTGTCATTTTTTCAGAAAGAGAAGTGCAGAGAAAGTAACAGCTTGATTTTGAATGTTGTATACCTTCTCTAGCATTATCAAGTCATTACATTCTGTATTGCATGCACAAGAAGTGTTTTAGAAGCCTTCGTAATGCTGCCTCTTCCCCACCTCCACTCCACACCTGAACCTACACTCTTGATTCCCCGGAAGGTTCATGACTTTGGAAGCTGACTGGATGATGAGAGTTCTATAGTTTTTGGGAGGTGGGGCCTGGTTGGAGGTGGATCACCGGGATTGTGACTTGGAAAGGTTTACAGTGTTGTTGTCCCCAACTCCTCCCTTTTTTCTTTCCCATGGGATGAGCCACTTTCTTCTGCCCAGGCCCGTCATGTCTTGGAGCCACCTGAACCGAATCCTCTAAAAATCATGAGCCAAAACTCTCCTCCTTTAAACTGTGGGTGTTGGCACACCCTGTCTCCCTTATAAGAAAAACCTCACAGTATAAATAAAGAACAAAATAAAAGACAGGTAATAGGGAACAGGCAGATAGAACTTTGGCAAAAGTGAAGTGGACCAAGAGAAGGAAGGAGGGGAGTAAGAGGGAGGAGAAAGGGAATTTAAAATAAAAAAAAAAAAATGTGTTACGTACAGGTACAGATTACCCACAATGAATGTAATCGTTATGTACCGGAAACATACAAATTAAACAAAGAGGGGGGAGGGGGGAGTGAGGGGGGAGAGAGAGAGAGAAGAAAAAAGAGAAAAAAGAAAAGAAAGAAAAAGGAAGGTTGGAAGAAAAAGGGCAGCTCTGAAAATCTAGGGGTAAACTGCTTAAATGCAATTATTCCTGAGGCTAAATGAGATCGCCATCACGCGGAAAGGTCCGGTCCAGAAGTCTGTAGGGCATCTGGACACTCCTAAAACAGGCAGGGGTTTGTTTCTTTTGTCACTCTTGCCTTAGAAGAAAGGCAACGGAGCAGTAGCCAATCAACGATGAAAGGGCGGGCTGCATGAACTGTCCAATCAGGTGGGCCGAGATAGGCGGGCTCTTCCGGTGTCATGGCGCCTAAGTGCCTCTGACACATCTCAGTCAGCGTCCCAGCTGGCCGGACTGCTTTTTTCTGTGACCTTTACTCGCTGCGATCTGTGCGAGAGGACCCTGGGAGACCCTCAAGCCACGCAATGGTGACGTTGTGGGACGAGAGCTCCGGGATGGGGTGGAGTCCGGGCGAGGTCTGGACGGAGGTGGCCGGAATCAGCTCTGAAGAACTAGAGATGCCCTGCTTAGCTCCAGATAGTAAGGACCTCCTGGTCTTTGGCACTGAATCAGCTCTTGTTCCTTGTCCCCTTTGCCGGCGCAGGGCCTGTTCCGGTTCCCCGGCATCCTGTCCCCAGTGCAATACTGCCAGCTGAGAATGCGATCTTGGACAGCCCCAGTCACAGCTACGTCTCCACCAGTCTAAGGACGGCGGGGCCTGGGGAGACCCAGGTTCCGCTGTGGGTGAGAGCTGGGTGCAGCGATGATGTTCTGGGTCCCTGGTCTCGTTTTTCCCAGCAGTGGACCTGAGTTTATAAATGATTGTGGTGCAGGGTTTCATACCCACATCGCATCTCTTCAGATCTCTGCTTTTTTATATTGATAATGATTTCCTAAATTTCCAGTATGTGCTCAGATTGCCAGACTTACGTTACGTGTTGATAAAGGCAATGAGGATTCAAACACATGTTTAGCATTGCTGGTGATGAGCTCAGTGCTGGACCACTTGTCAAGCACATAGCGAACTCCTGGGCTCCATCTACAGAAAAAAAATTACTGTCTTAATTACTTAGGTGTGATCTCTACCCAAAATTAGACTATTGAGGCCTTCCACAGAGTGTAAAAAGCTGAGAAAAGTTGAGGAATGTTAATATATTAGCAAAGGCAGGTAAAATGTTTATGCTAAGGATATCTTCCAGAAGGGACTGCCTGTTAAACCCACACTGAGAAACACATTGAATTGGGGCATTTGCACAGACATATATATGTAATGTGAATATGAGTGGAAAGAGAGAGTGGTGTTATCTCTTAATGGCCATAGTTTTTGGTCCGATTGTAGACATTGTTTAAATATTGAAAGGCTGTTTGAGATAGACTTTATATGAAGGAGTATTGGTGTAGGGGCAACTCCCCAAATGAAAGGTATGCAGGCATATCAGTGGTTACGCCTAAGGGGTTTTCCAGGTAGAGAAGGGCAAAGGTGAGTGGAAGGGAGGTGGGAGAGAAGAGGATGTCAGAGGGTGGCAATATTAGTACCTCCAACAGAGAAGATTTACTCTGGAGGTCAGATTGTTCTTAGTGTGACAATGCTTAGTCTGAGAGCAATTCAAAGGTCAGGCCTAAAGAATGAAGAGGAAGTTAAAAATAGATAATTGTCTTCTATTATTACTGACCAGTTCACCTAATTATTTTTGAGGTACAGTTGGGAATTAAGAAACTGCCTGGCCTTGTTGGAGGTTAAAAAATAGGATGAACATCACCTTTGAAATAAAATGAGAAGGCTTTCTCCAGGAGACAAAAGATTTCAAGGTGTGCATGATGCTTTTATTATACAGGGACTGAAATCAGGAATTTTGCTTGGAGCTATGCTCCCTCATTTTGTTTTTTTAAATTATTTTTTGAGACCAGGTATTACTGTGCTGCCCAGGCTAGGGTGAACTTTTGTTTCTACTTCCTTGACTATTGCAATGACAGGTATATGCCACTGTGCCAGTTTAAGATTGGGGTTCTTTAAGCACCCTGACTTATCAAGATTTCAGCGCTTGTATAAAGTAATTAGTGAAGCATGGTAGTGCACAGCTGGGGAGACAGATAGAAATACTGCACCACTAAGCCTCAGTATTGACAATTGAGGAAGACACTTTCAGTATGAAAGTTAGTGTGTCACTGCTCTGTCAGCCACAGGACCCCGAGGGTGACCAGTCAGTGATTTATAGTCCAGTAGATTCAGTAAATTACATGACATATTTAGTGTTTTATTATAAATTAGGCTTTGTGTTACATGAATTTCCCCAATTATAGATGAAGATAAATGTGTTGAGTAGGTTTAAAGAATCCAAATCTTAGCAGTGATGTTTGCTTATCATGTATATCCTGTGCATTTTCAATACATTTTATTTTTAGCCTCCTTTGGGTTGATCAATGTATTTTTCCTTGCTAACTCAAGTACTATTTCTAGACTAATTCCTTCAACTAAAGGACTCTGTAGACCTTGATACTCATCTGATTATTTCCTGGTTTTTTTAGTGCTGTACTAATCAGGTTCTCAGAGCAACTGAAGCAGGAAAACTGACTGCTATTTAGAAAAAGAAAGACAACTCTGGATTTTGGGAGGTTTTTTTTTTCCTTTGTATTTATTTGGTTTGCTTTGGGTTTTCTTGTTTGTTTGTTTGTTTTATTTCATACTTTGTATTATAAAGATTTATCCCACTTGGTCATATGATCTGGCTTGTGTCACCAGCACAAGGGAATAAGATAGTTATTTTCGTGAACAGATACAAGGATGAGCTGTTTGAACACAAGACACCAAGCATTTGCAAGGCTGAAGAAAAAACTTCTCCGTTCCTAGTTCTAATTTATTCTGATTCTGGGAACCCTTCTACCTGCCAACTTCTGCCTTTGTGTGCTGCTTTACCTTAATGTACTCAAGGCATGTCTGCCAGCATTCTCACCCCAAAGACTGTTCCCCCTTTGCAGTGATTAATTTATCTCTGGGGAAAGAGATGACCATGAGCCTTTGTTAGTGTTCCGTAAACAAAGAGAGAATGCTATCCTTGAAATTCCCCTAGGTGTCTCCTGGGTTCCCTACTGTAACCCTTTCATGTTGGTGTCCTGGAGAAACCCATGGAAATGACCAATGGAGAAGGGTACAGCTGAGATTAAAGAACAGAGCTTCAGTTCAAGGTACCCCTTAGTCTGGGCTTTTCATCTTCCAGTGGGTATTATCATAGAGCATCAAATAGAGTTTTAACAGTTCATGTCGCCTTTGTTTTGCCATTTTGGTTACCTTTTCATTCAGGAGCTTATGTGTTCACTACTTGCTAAGTCATTGGTTTTCAGGCATTGTTTATTTTGCATATCAGAAAACATCTGGATGTGTCTCAATATTTTGTTGTAATTATGACAGAGCATGAGCAAGATTTAGTAGCATCTTGTGGGTTATGTTCAAGCATGTTGACCAATGTCACCCATGTACAGGACAGCCCCAAATATCACTAATAATACCCCTGTTAACAGCCCTGTTGCAGGTGTGTACTCCTTCTGCTGCTGAGCCTCTGCTTCTCTACTGGGTTATACCCCACAGCTTTATGTTCCTTTTTTATGCTGTCTGTAGACTCCAGAAACTGATGAGCGCTGTACATGTGCTCTGCCACTGAGGTACATCCCAGCCTCATGTATATATACTTCCATGTGCCAAAATGGAAGTATGTTAGTTTATCCTATATTTTAATAAATTCAGTATTTTTTTCCAGATTTATTTACCTTGCTATATGTACATATAATTCATGACAAGTCTCTACTATTTGTCTCCTAACATCTTATTTGCCTTTCCAGTTTTGGAAAATCAGGCATCTCTACTTAAATGTACACTGTCTAGACTACTACTACCTGTGAAAATAGTTTCTATTTGTAATAACCAACCAACACTGGACTTTTTCTAACTTGATGAGTTTCACTGATTTATAGTGACATTAATTGCTTTTCATTTTTCTCTCTTTTATGTTTCCATTTTTTATGCATTCTTATTTTATTTCTTCTTTAAGCCCCCATGTAAATTATCTGTTTATATCATGTTCTCCTATCTGTGATGAACAGTCTTTTTTTTTTGATAAAATCTTTCTGTTATTGTTCTATGTATTTCATTATCACTTGTAGAGAATCAAAATAACTCCTCATTATTTTTCCATCTGATGTTAATTTCATTGAATGGTTTCTTTGCTGAGCAGAAATTCTAATTATTACTTTTTGTGTCTTTTCAAAGTCACCTTAATGTTTATGGCTTTACAATTCTATTTCTGAAGATTTCCTCTTTCCTAGATCAGAAAGTCATTTTTCTGTACTTTCTTCCTTATTTTAGTATTTCATTCTTTTTTTGAATCTACCTGGAATACATCTTTGAAAGTTTATGATGAAAAAATCAGTCACATGGCATATGAAATGTTCCATTTTATCACCAAAATAAAAATGATGAATCACATCTTCACTTTTGATTTTTATTGCCTGCCTTATCAGATGTGTTTGTTTAAAACAAATGTATTTCTTGATATTTCTTACAGATTCTGTGTGTCTACATGTTGTCTGAAGTTCAGGCTTAAATGACTGTAACTGTATAGTGTGCTTCAAACAATGACAAAGGGTAGCTCTACTTTTTTCTTTGAGACTTGAAAAATATAACACTTTTTTTTCAGAAGGGAGTCTAATAGATGTTTGTCAAATTTATAGTTTATTTTGGTATTATAAACATAGTTATATTATGCATGTAGTAGTTTAAAGAATACATAGCATACTGCCTGATCCCACCTAAATCTGTACATTAGTCTCTTGATATTCAGATCCTCTTGTGCAGTTTTACTTGTGTGTATTTTCTCTTTGGAGATGTTGCAGACTGTCTTGGTTACTTTTCTATCATTGCTGAGACAAAATACCTGATGCTCAAAATTAGGGAAGGAAAAGTTTATTTAGCTCACAAATTTTGGAGGTTTCAGTCCATACTCAGCTGGCTGCAAGACAGAATGGCACATGGCAGAGGGCAACAGTTCTTGGAGGCAGAAAACAGCAAGGCAACAAGAGCAAAAGGGAGGAGTGGAGGCAAGCAGCCCCTTTCTCTCCCTAAATTGTATGCAAACTGTCTGCCCCAGGGTGGGTGTTGCACACATCCATGAATCAATCATAAACTCTAGAAGCCCGTCCCATGACAGCATGAGGCTTTGGGAGGACATCCAGAAACAAATCATAACACAGACCTTTAAAGAATTTTTTGACTGTTTACAATAATTTTTAATAGTTGTTTATATAAAGCTTAATAGTATGTGAGATCATGTGTAGGTGTCAATAATGTCCTTGCTTTACAGTGACATGTGAGGAGGCATTTTCTTGAATAGAACTACATATTGGCACAAACTAAGTCAGGGAACAGAGAGGATCATCTAGTTGAATCCCTTCCAGGCTGATTTTAGACGTATTTGCAAAAATTTTAAGGAAGTTCAGTTTTCTAATTAAATATATTTGTAAAGATGCAGTTTCTTCCCTTTAATGTTCATCATATTCACATGGCCTAGGAACATTCTTGCACTATTGATTCTATTAATAACAATTTCTTTTCTATTTTCAGTGATAACTAGATTTTAACAGGTATTTAGAATTCTCTGTAAATTTTGTGTATGCTGACTTTCAGATTACATGTTTGACTGCTATTTATAATTTGTGTTCTGATTTGATTTTATGTACTTTATTTTACTGACATAGATTTAAGGTGTATTAAAAGTATGAGAAACTGATTTTTGTGAGTGATCTTATATTTGGCAACATAGATCTCCCTGTCACTTCTCAAATTTTACATATTGATTCTTTTAATATTTGTGCATAGAGATTTTTTTTAAACTGGGAATTGAATTCAGGGCCTTGAGCTTGCCAGGTAGGCAGTGTGCCTCCTAGCTGTATCCCAGCCCTGAGATTTTATTTCTTTCACTTCAAGCTTTATGCCACATTTTCTTTCTTGCCTTCTAACACACACATGAATTTTTTCAAGGGATGGAATAGTGGAGGCAGTAAACATTCTTATTTCTGATTTTGAGATAATTTGAAGTATTAATAGTGGAATTAAATTGTGTCTTCATTTATTATAAAGTGTCTCAAATATCACTGGTGCTGAGTTTGACATCCCTTTTGCAGGTAGCTCTTTCTTCACTATTGAGCCTCTGTTCATCACTTCTGGATCATACATGATGAGCAAAATACATGTGCTGTACTACTGATCTACTCCCCAGACTCATGTACATATATTTATAGCATGCCCACATGGGGGTATTTTATGTACTTTATTTTTTTTTTACCTAATTTATTGAATAATATTTATAGGGTTTATTTGCATTGTTGTATGTCTATATACCTCCTGACAGGGTCTCTACTATTTTTCTCTGTGACACCTTATTTGCATTTCCGCAGTTACGGGAAAGCGGGTTTATCGAGTTCTGGCAGTGATGTAAATGCCACAGTGAACATTCTTACTCTTATTGCCCTATCAACAAATTTGAGTAAAATCCATAGATGCTCAGGACCTTGTTTCCTGGTACACAAAGTATGTATCATTGAAAATTTTAATATACACCACCTATACTACCACTGCCCCTGGGCTATAGATATTTTCCATAAACAATGAACACTAGAGTTTTTGTAATTTGATTAAATTCATGAGTTCACAGTGAATTCAGTTGCTCATTTTTCTTCTTTTATGCCTCCTCTCTTGTGCATTCTTTTGTCCTTTTTTGATGTAAGCCCTACTATAAATAAGCTGCTTTTCACATGTACTAATATTTATGATAATACATTTTTAATTTTTATTTTATTTTATTTTTTTGAGACAAGGTCTCGCTATGCAGTTCAAGATGGCCTTGAGCTCACTTTGTAGCCCAGGCTGGCCTCAAACTCACAGCGATCCTTCTGCCTCAGATTCTTGAGTGCTGGGATTACAGGTGTGTGCCACCACACCTAGCTTAATTTTTATTTTAAAGAGAAATAAAAAGAAATAAAAACAGTGATACAGAGTTTCAAAACAAGATAATAAGAAATTAACAATGGTTAATGTATTGCATATTATTCTCTTCAAAGTAGTTGCTCAGATTACAAGATGTAGGCATGCAAAATTATTATAAGCACAAACCAATCTTTTCACTGGACTAAAGGAAATTAGTAGTATAATTATATTAGCTATCTTCTGTTTATATGTATATATTTTTTTCTTTTCCCTTCCATCTTTTCTTCTTTCCCCCATCGCAGTTGTTCTTTCCTTTTGAGCAGTTTCTTTCCCTTTCTTAATATCTATTGCAGATTTTGTATCTTATTTCTTCTTTCAGGTTCTTATGCTAGGGAGGCAAGATGATGTTTACACATGCAAGTTTGATTTAGTTCACTTACGATTATGGTCTCTAGTTGTATCCATTTACCTATAAGAGCCTCAAGTTTATCCTTCTTTATACCTGAGTAGTACTCCATTATATAAAAATACCACATCTTTTTTATCCATTCCTTGGTTGATGGGCATTTGGGTTGTTTACAAGACTTAGCTGTTACAAATTGTGCTGCTATAAATATGGGTACACGTATATCGCTGTGATTTGACGTTTTTAATTCTTCTGGGAAAATACCTAGAAGGGGAATAGCTGGGTCAAATGGGACCTCTAGTCCTAGTTTTTTGAGGAATCTTCATATTCATTTCCACAATGATTGTACCAGTTTATACTCCCACCAGCAATGGAGAAGGGTTCTTTTTTCCCACAACCCTCCAGCATTTGTTATTGGTTGATTTCTTGGTTCTGGCCATTCTTTCTGGGTGAGATGGAATCTCAGTGTTGTTTTAATTTGCATTTCTCAGGTGACCAAGGCTGTTTAACATTTTTTCATATCTTTGTTTGCCATTTGTATTTCTTCATCTGAGAAGTGTATATCCATCTCAGATGCCCATTTTTGGATTGGATATTTCAATTTGGGTGGCCTAATTTTTTAATCTTTTATATGTTTTAGATTGAAGTCCTTTGTTTGAGGGACTGTTGGCTAACATTTTTCCCACTTTTTGGGTTTCCTTTTCACTTTGTTGGTGATTTCTTTTGATGTGCAAAAACTTTTCAGTAAGATGAGATCCTAGTTGTTAATTCTTTGAAGTTCTTCCTGTGAAGTTTGTTTTTTAT